TAACATCATAGATATTTTTACGCCTATAAATGTCGAATGTCGCGCCCAAAAAAGCATTTGCGGGAAGTTTTAATTCATTACTAGTAACTAGTGAAAAAAATCCGGAATATTAAGCGGTACACCTGGTGAAACCAGTTTTTTGGTTTGAGGTCGCCGCCTTGTGGACATCTCTGGAATTGCATGAGGTTTGTTTAAACCTCTTTTTAGGTCATCACAATGCAAACTACAGACAAGTTAGTGGTACAGAGAATTCTCTTCATGAGCGATCTGACATCACCCATGTGATACCCTACAACCTCCAAAGTATTTTAATTTTTTTCCTCCCAAATACTTCAGAGGCGATTTCCTATAAACAAGGGCCACGTCCTGCACAACCATCAGAATCCGGAAGTTCACGCTGAGCGTCTTTATGGTCCAATCCTCTGACGGGTTCACATGTGGCCCGTTGTCCCAGGAAGGCCGTTCGCAGGCGGCCAGAGACCCCGCTGCACCCCCTTCCCGTGAGAGGCACCCTGTGCATTGAGTCTTCATTTCTCGCCAGTCCTCTTCCTGGAACCTTTTAAAGACTCGCGTGCTTTCCCACTTAACCAGCGGATACAAATGCTTAGAATCAGGGCCCCTCCAGACTCCAGCGACCCCCCAGGATCGCAACCAGAACCCGGGACTTAGCCCAAGCGCCCCAGGACCTCCAAACCGCAAGAAACCTGGAGCCTGTCTCTTCCATTGTTTCAGCCTGGGCGCCCAGCTGCGAGCGTATTGGGAGCTGGGGGGCTCCACTGCAGGGGCGGATGAACCCAACAAGCCCTCAGAGCAAATGCAGTGCTAACCTTAAGTTAATAACAGAGTTAACGGCCCACAGTGAAGGCGTCTGTTTCTTTCCTGGGCACAGCGATTACACGTGGGTGCTGCCTGGCCGGTGAGGTTCAGTGGTTGAGCTTTGACCTATGAACCAGGAGGTCAAAGGTTCCATTCCTGGCTTGATACCGGGTTGGGGGTGCAGGAGGCAGCGGGTCAGTGATTCTCATCATGGATGTTCCTCTATCCCTCTCTCTTCTTCTCTGAAATAAAAAAAAAAGAGAAAAGCAATGGCGTCTGTGTGCAGCTTTCAGGGTTCCGGTTGGGGATGGCCTGTCGGGTCACTGGGGCAGCGGCAGGAAGCCTAGGAGGAGTCAGAAAAATGAGTGCCTTGAGAGGACCCTGTCCTGTGGGCAGCCTGCCCGTGGCTGCAGGATCACAGGCTGAGGGTGAGGGTTTGAGAGCAGGGTCCCTCCTGGAGGCCCTGGATCCTACAGGGCCTGGCAAACGTCCTTTCTGTCTTTGTTCTTTTGAGCTTTGGTTGCAGAGGAGACCATTAAAACAACAGAATACCCTCTGGCCGGTGTGGCTCAGTGGTTGAGCTTTGACCTATGAACCAGGAGATCATGGGGTTGGATTCCCAGTAAGAGCACAGGCCCGGGTTGTGTGCTCCATCCCCAGTGCGGCGAGAGCAGGAGGCAGCCGATTGATGGTTCTCTCTCATCACTGGTGTTTCTCTCTGTTCCTCTCCCTTTCCCTCTGAGATCAATAACATATTTTAATAAACAAATAGAAAACCTTTTTTAAAAACCAGCAATCGAAATGGCAAGTACCAGTGCACATGTGTTGATATATATGCGATTTGATATGTATGCTATTTTGTGTATTGACAAGCTTCAAAATTTCATGTCAAATTTTCTGAAGGTGTGTTAACAGTAGATAATTTTACGCCTAAAGATATCGAATTTCGTTCCAAAAATAAGAGCATTTAGGGGAAGTTGTAATTCAGTACCAGTAACTTCATCTATTGAAAAAAATCCGCATTATTAACCGGTACAACTGGTAGAACCAGTTTTGTGGTTGAGCGCGCCGCCTTGTGGACATCTCTGGAAATGCACGAGGTTTGTTTAAAAAAAAAAATTTTTTTTTAAGTCCATCACAATGCAAACTTCAGAAGTTACTAGTACAGAGAAATATGAGCCGGGCCCTAACCTGTTTAACTCAGTGGATAGATTGTCGGCCTGCGGACTGAAGGGTCACGGGTTCGATTCTGGTCAAGGGCTTGTACCTTGGTTGTGGGCACATACCCAGTGGGGAGTGTGCAGGAGGCAGATGATCGATGTTTCTAACTCTCTATCCCTCTGCCTTCCTCTCTGTAAAAAAAACAAACAATAAAATATATATTTTTTTAAAAAAATATGAGCCGGGTTGGGGGCTCCATCTCCGTTGTTGGGGTGCAGGAGGCAGCTGATCAGTGATTTTCATCATTGATGTTTCTCTATCCCTGTCAATCTCTGAAATCAATTAAAAAATTTGTTTTAAAGAGAAATATAGTTGTGGCTGTGCCCAGCTTGCAGGGCTCTGGTTGGGGATGGCCTGTCGGGTCTGTGGGGCAGCGGCAGGAAACCTGGGAGGAGGCACCTCAGGAGGCAGAGAAATTAGTGTCTTGGGAGGACCCTGTCCTGGGGGCAGCCTGTCCGTGGCTGCAGGTTCACAGGCTGAGGGTGAGGGTTCGAGAGCAGAGTCCCTCCTGGAGACTCCAGTGCCGGGAGAACATCCTTTTTGTCTCTGTCTTGTGAGCTTTGATTGCAAAGGAGACCATTAAAACAACCGCAAGCCCTCAGGCCGGTGTGGTTCAGTGGTTGAGCGTCCACCTATAAATCAGGAGGTCGTGGTGTTAGATACCCAGTCAGGTCACAGGCCCGGGGTGTGGGCTCAATCCCCAGTGTGGCGCTTGCAGGAGGCAGCTGATCCATGATTCTCTTTCCTCACTGGTGTTTCTCTCTGCCCCCTCCCTTCCCCTCTGAGATCAATAATATATTTAAAAAAACAAATACAATACAAAACCTTTTTTAAAACCCAGCAAACGGAATGACAAGTACCAGTGCACATGTGTTGATATATATGGGATTTGATATGTGTGCTATTTTGTGTATTGACAACAAGCTTCAAAACTTCCTATGTCAAATTTTCTTAAGGTATTAACATCATAGATATTTTTACACCTAAAAATTTTAATTTCGTGCGAAAAAAAGAGCATTTGCAGGAAATTTCAATTCATTACTGTTAACTATTGAAAAAATCAGCATTATTAACCGGTACACCTGGTAAAACCAGTTTTGTGGTCCGAGCGCGCCGCCTTGTGGACATCTCTGAAATTGCATGAGGTTTGTTTAAACTTTTTTTAAGTCATCACAATGCAAAGTACAGACAAGTTACTGGTACAGAGACCTCTTCATGAGCGATCTGACATCACCGATTTGACTCCCTATGACGTCAGAAATATTTGAATTTTTTTTCCTCCCAAATACTTCAGAGGCGATTTCCTATAAACAAGGGCCACGTCCTGCACAACCATCAGAATCCGGTAGTTCACGCTGAGCGTCTTCACCGTCCAATCCTCTGACGGGTGCCCATGTGGCCCGTTGTCCCAGGAAGGCCCTTCGCAGGCGGCCAGAGACCCCGCTGCACCCCCTTCCCGGGAGAGGCACCCTGTGCATTGACTCTTCATTTCTCGCCATCCTCTTCCTGGAACCTTTTAAAGTCTCGCGTGCTGAACACTTTGCTTAACCAGCGGATACAAATATCTAGAAAATCGGGCCCCCTCGAGACTCCAGAGACCCCCCAGGATCGCAACCAGAACCGGGGATGTAGCCCAGGCGCCCCAGGACCTCGGAACCGCAAGAGATCCGGAGCCCGGCTCTTCGATTGTTTCGGCCTGGGCGCCGAGCGGCGCGCGCGTATAGTATGATTGATCAATTAACGCTGCCTGTTGGAGGGCGCAGGGCACGCTGGGATGTGTACCTGGCGCTGGGCGCGAGCACACCGGAAGTGTGTCGACGTCGGCGAGGTGCACGCCGGGAAGCGAGGCTAGCGGTGAGCGAGGCATGCCGGGAAGTGCGTCTTTGCGTCAGTCGCGGGGCACGCCGGGAAGTGTGTCGGCGTCGACCCGAGGCATGCCGGGAGGTGTGTCTGGCGTCTAACTGGGCATGCTGGGAAGTTCGTCTTACGTCGGTCGTGAGGTACGCCGGGAAGTGTGACGGCTGTCGCGCGGGGCATGCCGGGAGGTGCGTCCAGAGGTGGCCGGGGCTAGTCCGGAAGTGTGTCAGAGGAGTTCTTGTCGCCCGGAAGTGGTCCCTTGCAGGCGCGGGCAGGCCGTGTAGTGGTCGTTTGCCGGCGCGGGTCACAGAGGCAAGTGTGTCTGGAGACGGGCCTGAGCCACGCCGGGAGGTCTGTCTGGAGGGAGACCCGGCGCCGCGGAGCGGGAGCGGGGAGGCGGCAGGATGGTGAAGCTGACGGCGGAGCTGATCGAGCAGGCGGCGCAGTACACCAACGCCGTAGGGGACCTCGAGCTGGACCTGCGAGGCTATAAGATCCCCATCATCGAGAATCTGGGTGCGACCTTAGACCAGTTCGATGCCATTGACTTTTCTGACAATGAAATCCGGAAGCTGGACGGCTTCCCGCTGCTGAGAAGACTGAAGACCCTCCTGGTGAACAACAACAGGATCTGCCGCATCGGCGAGGCGCTGGACCAGGCCCTGGACCAGGCCCTGCCCTGCCTCACGGAGCTCGTCCTCACCAACAACAGCCTCGTGGAGCTGCGCAACCTGGACCCGCTGGCGTCGCTCAAGTCACTGACCTACCTGAGTATTCTCAGGAACCCCGTGACCAACAAGAAGCACTACCGCCCGGAAGGACCATCCCGGAGGCTCCGTGCACGGCCGGCTCGGGGGACGGGGACTCGGATCGCTGCCCGACCCGTATCCGTGGGCCTGTGTTCGGTTCGGCCTCGTGGGACCGTTTCTCAGTCTCATCTGCTCGAGCGCGAGCGGCTGGTTCTCAGGAAACACGTTAAAGTGATAGCGTCAGAGTGAGGGTAGGGCGCGCGCTGGTTCTTAACTTTTCTTTTTTAGAGAGAGCGGGGGGGGGGGAGAGGGAGAGAGAGAAACATGCATGTGAGAGAGACACATCGTTTGGTTGCCTCCCGCACACGCCCTTACCGGGTCCGGGATCGAACCCGAGACCCTCGGGGGCTCTGGCCACATGGGGCGGCGAGGCCATTAGGGTGGAAGTGAAGGACCGGGTCCTGTGCTTCCTTAGCAGCGTCAGCGGCCCCGGGCCCTTCGCGCAGACAGGTCATCAGGTGACCCCCGTGTCAGCGCGGACACTGAACCCTTCAGATCCCGAGCTGCTGCAACCCCAGTAAAGGTTAAGTGCACCTCCAGGCCATGGCTACACCCCAATGAGCACCCTCAACGCCCCGCCCATTTCCTGCTTTAGAGATGGCGGAGATGTCCCGGGGGCAGGGAGCACATTGGTTAGTCAGCTTGGAAATAACCCCTTCTCCACCAAACGGAAGTTCATAAAAAGGAAAGTGTTCTGGCCCTGGCCGGGTGCTCAGTGGTTAGAACGTCGGCCGGTGGACTGAAGTGTCAGGGGTTCATTCCAGGTGAAGAGCAGGTTCCTGGGTTGCAGGTTCAATCCGGGACGGGTCGGGTCTTGTGCAGGAGGCAACCAATCCCTGTGTCTCTCTCACATCCATGTCTCTCTCTCTTCTCTCCCCCTCCCTCCCACTCTAAGAACCAATGGAGAAGTGTCCTAGGGTGAAGATGAACAGCAACAACAAAGCAATCAGAGGGACAGGCAGCTGTCTGTCCAGCAAATCAGAAGGGGACTTAGGAAGACCGTGAAGAGCAACCGCCTTGGGCATGAGCTGCTCCATTCTGTGCCCGGAATCTGCTCCCACGGGGACCACGGGGTCTCAGCGCAGCTGCTGCTGGCTCTGCTTCTGGCCTAGACTCCTTGCGGACAAAGCCAGGTCGTTCTATCCATCTTCTTATTAATCCTTCCCCAGCATATTTTCCCATGGATTTTAGAAAGGGTGGGGGATGCGGGGGAGAGAGAGATAGGAACATCCATGATGAGAGAGCATCATGGGTCTGCTGCCTCCTGCATGCCCCTTCTGGGGATCGAACCTGCAACCCAAGACCTCCTGGTTCATGGGCTGACATCAACCACTGAGCGACACTGGCCGGGCCTGGGTAAACACTTTCTGAATGAATGCTAGTTTTTTAAAAAAATTAAATTACTGGGAAATTCTGCTAATGTACTCTAGCGCCTTTTAGTTTTACTAATACTTGTGGATTTTTTTTCCTCTCCGCTTCACAGGCTATAAGATCCCTGTCATCGAGAATCTGGGTGCGACCTTAGACCGGTTCGATTCGATCGACTTTTCTGCCAATGAAACCCGGAAGCTGGACGGCTTCCCGCTGCTGAGGAGACTGAAGACCCTCCTGGTGAACAACAACAGGATCTGGTGAGTGGCTGCCGGGGCAGCGTCTGTTGCCCAGTGTGAGCGTCCTTCCCACTGCCAGTGCCACCTCCACGTTTCCTCCTAAGATGAGAAACGAGGAAGCTTTTCTCATGCAGGTGGGAGCTTAGCTTGACATTGGGCTCGCCCAGCGGTTTCCAACCTTTTCCATCTCATCTCAGGGCACACACAACTAATCACTCAAATGCTGCAGCACAAGACTCTGACCCCAAAAAATAGATTTATATTGATTTCAGAGAGGAAGGGAGGGGGAGAGAGGTAGAAGCATCAATGATGAGAGAAAATCACTGATCGGATGCCTCCTGCTCACCCCACACTGAGGATGGAGCCCACAGCCAGGCGGGTGCCCTGACCGGGAATGGAACCCTGACCTCCTGGTTCATAGGTCGATGCTCATTCCATCATGTGATGGGTTAAGTCCGCCTGGAATCTGTCCTCCAGGGAGATGACCCGGCTCTGCATTCGCTGTGCTTCCTGGCGGATCTGACTTTGTCTTCTTTTCCTGGAGCGGGCTTGTCTCGCTCTCCTTTATGTTTTCCCTCCTCGTTGCTCCCTCTCACTCCTGTGCGCCCCGTCTCTCTTTCTGTTGGTTCCAGTTCCGTTTTTCCTGGAGCAGCTTAGAGATTAATTATTAAACAGCTGGCTCTGTTCCTAGCTCCTAGGGACGCACACAGATGTGCTACCCAAGTGTCTACTTCTGCTACTGACACCAGTACAGACGCCCCAGTTCCCCGCCTCTGCCGCCTCCACCCGCCTCCTCCCTCTGGCCAAGTGTCTGCTCACATTTGTCAGATTTGAAAGGTGACCAGTGTTACCTCTACCCTCCCAGACAGTGCAGGGCCCTGAGCCGTTTCAGTCCCTCACACCAGCTCGCTGTGTGTGTAATGCGCTGTTTAAAGCCATCGGCGCTGTGCGTGGAGAAGCTGTTATGTCCGAGATGGGAGGGCGCAGAAGCTCCAGTGCATTCATCAGCTTCTTGACTGGAAGCGCATCGGGCGCCGGAGCGGGAAGGACGGGGCAGGATGGTCCTCGCTCCAGGCGTCACCGTTGGCAGCGGCTCAGGGGGGTGTCTGCTCTCCCTCCACAGGGCGACCTGGACCCGCGGGCGGGCGTCGCTCAAGTCGCTGACCTACCTGAGGTAAGTGACGCCCTGTGACAGTGAGTCCTTCACAGTAGCCTTTGCCCGGCCTGGACCTTAACACCCCGTGAGGACAGAGGAATGCTGCATGGGCACGAACTGGAAAAGGTTTACAATTTAAAAAATACCTATATTGTTTTAAAACTCATAAACCTAATTCTGTTTTACCCGCTATGGAGAAGAAAAGAAAAGGGCACCTTTCAACACAAATCCTGCAAAGCACTGTTCGTGACCTGTGGGCCGTGCTGTGGCTAACGGGTTCCATTCCAGTGCGACAGCAGCCCCACTGCCAGCACACTGACCGCCTGATGGTGCTCTCAGTGTCAGGTCTTGGACACAAGCATGGGGGTGGGGCGGGAGGAAGGCAGGAAAAAATTTTCAGCCCTGGCTGGTGTTGCTAAATGGTTAGAGCGTCGACCTCTGAACCAGTGGGTCCCGGGTCAGTTCCTGGTCAGGTGCGATGAGAACTGCCTGAGCTGCGAGGCGGGCCTCAGGCGTTGCCAAACACACCTGCAGCCAGGGTGAGCCAGGCCTGGGACCAGTAACCGCAGGGCAGGGAGCCCCACGCCCCCCAATCTGACTGGGCCCCCCTTTATTCTCCCCAACAGAGGAGACCTGCGAGATGGTGAAGTCCAACTGGCTGTGTGAGTGCAAGCTCTTCATTCAGCTCTGCTGCCGGCCCCTGGGCGGCGGCCCCTGGAACTCAGCCCGCCGGCCGCATACCTGTGGGGATGGGACCCAATGTGCACCCCAAGGCCTGCCTGGGAACCCCCACATTTACCGAATCTTGCAACCAAAGTGGAACGTCAAGCATGTGGCCTTGCCCGACCCTTCTCACTGGGCTTCCAGCATCTCCAAGGTCAACCTCAGCCTCCTGCGGGACGGGCAGTCCCCACGTGTGATGAAGGGCCCCGCCGCCGGTGTCCTCCGCGCAGACTGTAAGCCAGACAGTCCGGCGGGACCTCCTGCTGCCAAACCTGTGTGGGCGTGTGGATCAGCTGCCTGTTCCGGTTCTCCCCGAGGGGGGTCCTGTGAACAGAGAGCCCCAATATTTCCCTGGAAATGCACAGATCGGCTCCTGGGACCAGGAGTAACCTTTGCCTTAAACTTTCTCTTGAGCTTGGACGTTTCCATTCAGTCTGGCTCCACCCTCGGTCCTCACAAAGCCGACCTGTCCCTGGGAGCTGGGCCCCCAACTCAAAGAGGTGGATCGAACCCATGACGCCAAGAAAGACGCCCTCAGAGCAAATGCAGTGCTAACCCTAAGTTAATAAAGAGTTAACAGCCCACAGTGAAGGCGTCTGTTTCTTTCCTGGGCACAGCAATTATACTTGGGCGCTGTCCGGCCGGTGTGGCTCAGTGGTTGAACATTGACCTATAAACCAGGACGTCATGGTTTGATTTCTGGTTTGATTCCGGGTTGTGGGCTCCATCCTCATTGTGGGGGTGCAGGAGGCACCCGATTGATGGTTCTCTCTCATCATGGATGTTTCTCTGTCCCTCTCCCTTCCCCTCTGAGATCAATAACATAAAAAAAAACAAAAATACAAAACCTTTTTTAAAGCCCAACAAGCGAAATGGCAAGTTCCAGTGCACATGTGTTGATATATATGCGATTTAATATGTATGGTATTTTGTTGTATTGACAAGCTTCAAAACTTCCTATGTCAAATTTTCTGAAGGTGTTAACATCATAGATATTTTTAGGCCTAAAAATGTCGAATTTCGTGCCAAAAATTCATTTGCGGGAAGTTTTAATTCATTACTAGTTAACTATTGAGAAGAATCTGCATTATTAACCTGTACACCTGGTAAAACCAGTTTTGTGGTCCGAGCGCGCCGCCTTGTGGACATCTCTGGAATTGCATGAGGTTTGTTTAAACTTTTTTTTTTTGGCCATCACAAAGCAAACTACAGACAAGTTGCTAGTATAGCACAGAGAACTCTTCATGAGCGATCTGACATTACCCATGTGATACCCTATGACCTCCCAAATATTATAATTTCTTTTTCTGCCAAATACTTCCGAGGCGATTTCCTATAAACAAGGGCCTTCTCCTGCACAACCATCAGAATAGGAAGTTCACGCTGAGCGTCTCTCTGGTCCAATCCTCTGACGGGTTCCCATGTGGCCCGTTGTCCCAGGAAGGCCCTTCGCAGGCGGCCAGAGACCCCGCTGCACCCCCTTCCCGGGAGAGGCACCCTGTGCATTGACTCTTCATTTCTCGCCATCCTCTTCCTGGAACCTTTTAAAGTCTTGCGTGCTTCACACTTTGCTTAACCAGCGGATACAAACGCTTAGAATCAGGGCCCCTCCAGACTCCAGAGACCCCCCCCCAGCGCAACCAGAACCGGGGATGTAGCCCGGGCGCCCCAGGACCTCGGAACTGCAAGAGATCCGGAGCCTGGCTCTTCGATTGTTTCAGCCTGGGCGCCGAGGGGCGGAAACGTACATCAGAAGCTGGGTGGGCCCCTCTGCAGGGGCGGATGAACCCATGGCACCGAGGAAGACGCCTTCAGAGCAAACGCAGTCCTAACCGTGAGTTAATAACAGTTAACAGCCCACAGCGAAGCCTTCTGTTAATTTCCTGGGCACAGCGATGACACATGGGTGCTGCCCGGTAGTGTGGCTCAGTGGTTGAGATTTGACCTATGAACCTGGAGGTCACGGATTCCATTCCTGGCTCTATTCCGGGTTGGGGGTGAAGGAGGCAGCCGATAAGTGATTCTCATCATGGATGTTTCTCTCTCCCTCTCTGAAATCAAAATATATATATATATTTTTAAAAAGAGAACATGGCGGCTGTGTGCAGCCTGGAGGGCTCCTGTTGGGGTTGGCCTGACAGGTCAGTGGGGCAGCGGCAGGAAGCCTGGGTCGAGTCAGAAATATTAGTGCCTTGGGAGGACCCTGTCCTGGGGGCAGCATGACCTTGGCTGCAGGTTCACAGGCTGAGGGTGAGGTTTCGAGAGCAGGGTCCCTTCTGGAGCCTCGAGAGCCTGGAAAACGTCCTTTTTGTCTCTGTCTTGTGAGCTTTGATTGCAAAGGAGACTATTAAAACAACCGCATTCTCTGGGGACAGTGTTGCTCAGTGGTTGAGCTTCGATTTATGAACCAGGAGGTCATGGTTTTAGATACCCAGTCAGGGCACCGGTTGTGGGCTCCATCCCCAGTGTGGGGTGTGCAGGCGGCAGCTGATCCATGATTCTCTCTCATCACTGGTGTTTCTCTCTGCCCTCTGAGATCAATAACATATTTTTAAAAGCAGATAGAAAACCTTTTTTAAAACCCAGCAAGCTAAATGGCAAGTACCAGTACACATGTGTTGATATATTTTTGATTTGTTATGTATGCTATTTTGTTGTATTGACAAGCTTCAAAACTTCCTATGTCAAATTTTCTGAAGGTGTTATCATAGATATTTTTACGCCTAAAAATGTCGAATGTGTTGTAAAAAAAATCATTTGCGGGAAGTTTTAATTCATTACTAGTAACGATTGAAAAAAATCCACATTATTAACCGGTACACCTGGTGAAACTAGATTTGTGGTCCGAGCGCGCCGTCTTGTGGACATCTTTAGAATTGCACCAGGTTTAAATTTTTTTTAAGTCATCACAATGCAAACTACAGAAAAGTTACTGGCACAGAGAACTCTTCATGAGCGATCTGATATCACCCATGTGATACCCTACCACCTCTCAAGTATTTTAATTTTTTTTCCTCCCAAATACTTCAGAGGCGATTTCCTATAAACATGGGCCTTCTCCGGCACAACCATCAGAATCCGGAAGTTCACGCTGAGCGTCTTCACCGTCCAATCCTCTGACGGGTTCACATGTGGCCCGTTGTCCCAGGAAGGCCCTTCGCAGGCGGCCAGAGACCCTTCTACACCCCCTTCCCGGGAGAGCCACCCTGTGCATTGATCTTCATTTCTCGCCAGTCCTCTTCCTGGAACCTTTTAAAGTCTTGCGTGCTTAACACTTTGCTTAACCAGCGAATACAAACGTCTAGAATCAGGGCCCCTCCAGACTCCAGAGACCACCCAGGATTGCAACCAGAACCGGGGACGTAGCCCAGGAGCCCCAGGACCTCGGAACCGCAAGAGATCCGGAGCCTGGCTCTTCCATTGTTTTGGCCTGTGCCCCGAGCGTATGTTGGGAGCTGGGGGAGTCTCTCCTCAGGGGTGGATGGAACCCCAGGTGCCCTCTGAGCAAATCAGTGCTAACCCTAAATTAATAACAGAGTTAACAGCCCACAGCGAAGGAGTCTCTTTCTTGGGCAGAGTGATTACAGATGGGTGCTGCCCAGCCGGTGTTGTCCAGTGGTTAGCTTCCACCTAGGAACCAGGAGGTCCTGCAGTTCGATTCCCTGTCAAGCACAGGCCCCGGGTTGTGGGCTCCATCCCCAGTACTGGGCGTACAGGAGGCAGCTGATCCATGATTCTCTCTCATCACTGGTGTTTCTCTCTGCCCCTTTGAGATCAATAACATATTTTAAAACACAGAAAACCTTTTTTTAAACCCAGCAAGCGAAATGGCAATACCAGTGCACATGTGTTGAGATATATGCGATTTGATATGTATGCTATTGTTGTATTGACAAGGTTCAAAACTTCCTACATCAAATTTCTGAAGGTGTTAATATCATAGATATTTTTACGCCTAAAAATGTCGAATGTCGTGCCAAAAAAAAAAAGCATTTGCAGGAAGTTTTAATTCATTACTAGTGACTATTGAAAAAAATCCGCATTATTAACCGGTACACCTGGTAAAACCAGTTTTGTGGTCCGAGCGCGCCGCCTTGTGGACATCTTTGGAATTGCATGTGGTTTGTTTAAACTTTTTTTTAAGTCATCACAATGCAAACTACAAACAAGTTACTGACATCACCCATGTGATACCCTACCACCTCCCAAGTATTTTTTCCCCTCCCAGATACTTCAGAGGCGATTTCCTATAAACAAGGGCCTTCTCCTGCACAACCGTCAGAATCAGGAAGTTCACGCTGAGCGTCTCTCTGGTCCAATCCTCTGACGGGTTCACACGTGGCCCGTTGTCCCAGGAAGGCCCTTCGCAGGCGGCCAGAGACCCCGTTTCACTCCTTTCCCGGGAGAGGCACCCTGTGCATTGAGTCTTCATTTCTCGCCAGTCCTCTTCCTGGAACCTTTTAAAAACTCTAGTGCTTCACACTTTGCTTAACCAGCGGATACAAACGCTTAGAATCAGGGCCCCTCCAGACTCCAGAGACCCCCCCAGGATCGCAACCAGAACCGGGGACGTAGCCCAGGCGCCCCGGGACCTCCGAACCGCAAAAGATCCGGAGCCTGGCTCTTCCATTGTTTGGCCTGAGCGCCGAGCGGCGAGCGCGTAAATCGGCTCAATCAATCAATGCTGCCTGTGGGCGGGCACAAAGCGGTGCACGCCGTGAAGTGCGTCATGCGTCGACCGCGGTGCATGACGGGAAGTGTGTCAGCGGCTGCGTGGCGGCATGCCGGAAGTGTGTCTTGCGTCAGAAGCGAGGGATGCTGGGAAGTGCGTCTTGCGTCTGTTGTGGAGCACGCCGGGAAGTGTGGCAGCGTTGCCCCGGGGCATGCCGGGATATACGTCTTGGGGATGGCGTAGGTCTAGTCCGGAAGTGTGTCAGTAGGGGATCGGGCACGCCGGAAGGTTTGTCGTTTGCCGGCGCAGGGCTCGCCGGGAAGTGTGTCTGGTAACGGGCCTGAGCCACGCCGAGAGGTTTGTCTGGCGGGAGCCCCGGAGCCGCGGAGCAGGAGCAGGGAGGCGGCAGGATGGTGAAGCTGACGGCGGAGCTGATCGAGCAGGCGGCGCAGTACACCAACGCCGTGCGGGACCTCGAGCTGGACCTGCGAGGCTATAAGATCCCCATCATCGAGAATCTGGGTGCGACCTTAGACCAGTTCGATGCCATTGACTTTTCTGACAATGAAATCCGGAAGCTGGACGGCTTCCCGCTGCTGAGAAGACTGAAGACCCTCCTGGTGAACAACAACAGGATCTGCCGCATCGGCGAGGCGCTGGACCAGGCCCTGGACCAGGCCCTGCCCTGCCTCACGGAGCTCGTCCTCACCAACAACAGCCTCGTGGAGCTGCGCAACCTGGACCCGCTGGCGTCGCTCAGAGCGGCTGGTTCTCAGGAAACACGTTAAAGTGATAGCGTCAGAGTGAGGGTAGGGAGCGCGCTGATCCTTTTCTTTATTTAGAGAGAGCGGGGTGCCGGGGGTGGGGAGGCGGGGAGAACATCAGTGAGAGCGACACCAGTTAGTTGTGACCAC